TCCGCCCCGCCGCGGGCGGAGCTGCCCCGGCCCCGGCCCCGCCGAGGGCGAGAAGGGGGGACGCGGAAGCTCCGGGCTACAGAGCCCTTTGCGTTACCGGTGAACGCGCAGAGCTCCGTCACGGAGAACCTGCAGTTCCTAAGTGGTTGTAGGTTTTTGCTGCCTTTGTGTGGCAGGAAGCCTGAGGCCTCCAAAGCCCTGGGCTCTCGGAAGCGCCGGGCTGGGTCACCCTCCACCGTATAGGAGGGGGGAAAAAAGCTTTGAAAGTTATGTAAAGAACTTTGAAAGCTATATAAAGAGCTAATTTTGTTTCTAATAAAATAAATAATACTTAATGGAATAATATCCTGACCTGGCCTTCTCTGTTCAGAGCACACGGATTCCCAGATCCATTATGTCGTGCTGTAGCTGGAGTCTCACATTACTCTGTAATTTTGCAGCGTATTACTCACTTCTGATCTTGGGAACAGTGGGTCCCTGAAAATGAATGCCCGGGATATAAAAACCAAAACCAAAACATTTCTTCATGACGCATTTAGTGAATTCATTTCTGTGGAAGGTTGGGGCATCATAACCTGTGGATGGCGCAATGCTCTGCGTGATTCATTTTCTAACAAGAAAATAATAGGTACCTTCTAAGAGGAAGCTAGAAACTATTAAATTCGATGCGTAAGGCCAGCCCACGGTCAGAAGGCTTTCTCTTCCAGGACAAGCACGCTTGTCCAAGTGTCTTGAGGCTTTCTGCTTTCCATGGTGGTAGTTGGATGATCTGGGCATACCTTATTTGAGCTCGTATTGGGAACGTGAGTTTTGTATATTTCAGTACACTGGTGACACAATAACGCAATGAAGTCTTTACAGGCTCACCAACAAGTTTTATTATTAAGTTGCAATTAACTGAGGAGGAGCCTAATGTTTGTTCATCCGCTACTGAAGTGAAGAACACCGTTAGAGCAGTTTGCATCTAATGTTTGCCCCCTGTTTTTCTTTCAGTGAGCCATCAGATTGAAAATGTTCTGATTTCTGGCAAATGAAGCACCTGAGCTCTCTTAAGGACAGCAGAGCCTGTAATACTGCTTGTATAGTTAAGAGGGCAAGGTGGCCCTGAACATAGAGGAAAGCAGGTGGTTATTTGCCCTGCCAAGAAATAAAGCACAAAAGAAGGGAAATAGCTGCAATACTGGAAAACAATAACGAAACAAACAATGCAAAACAGAAAAGAACTACCATGACTTGATTTCACTTTAGTGAAAAAGAGGATTACAAGAGGAAAACATTAAGCCGTGTTTCAGTAGTGATGCAACCATGGCAAAGGAAATGAGCTAACTACTTCAAAAGGGTTTAGATAGCCAATGAGCAGTAGGGATCACTTCAATAATCACTGAAATAGAGCCATCTCCACTATTAAACTTGACAGATGGTGAACTGCATCTCAGTGGAATTTAAATATTTGGTTTAAGTTTGTTGGCCTGGATTGATTTACATTTTCTACAGACAAGAAGAGCTGACGTGGGAGTCCTGGGGATTTGGTACAGTTCAAGGTGTCAGTCCTTCCTTCTTCACAAGTGTGATTTCATTGCTGACTAATTTCGTCTACTGCACGTTCCTCAGGGCCTAGGAGGACTCATTGCACCTCCCTATTCCTCTGGAAAAGGTAACTCACAAAAGCTGACGGTTTTGAAGGCGCAGAGCCTGGAGGAGGAACTCATCCAAATTCCAGTTAAATTGGGAGATTAGTTCCCTTTGAAGTTCCAAGCCTAAACAAATCTCCGTCTCAGCAAAAAGAGTGCTACATGTTTCTTTATAACTGAAAAGAAATTCTACACAGCGTCTACGCAGCCTTTCCTGCCGCTTTTAAGTAACTTACAAATCAGCACTTCACTGTGCAAAGAAGGAATGCTTGCAAGTACAAAAGGTTTTTTGAGAATGACCTATTCCAAAAAAATCTCAGATCTATAATAACACATAGTCAGGCCTCTGTAAAAAGGTAAGAACATAACCTTTTCTTACCTTCTTTTCTGTGTGACTACTGTTCCTTATTAAAAAAAATCCTTCCTCTCCTTTAGAATTAATTTCTTTTCTACAGAAACATTCCAGTGTTGTTGTTAGAGCTCCATCTATGAATTAGCTATTTATTTGGAGACACAGACACACAAAAGAGGGCTGGCAAGACCTTGAGAGATTACCTAATTTATTTCTGTGCCCCATGGCTGGATTGATGATGACGCTGCTGTTCCTGGTTGTTTGTCTAAAGACATCTAGTGCTGGAGTTTCTTTTAGTCCTCAGGCAATCTGTTCCGCTGCTGCACTATCCATAGCGCTGGAAATGTTCCCTAATATCTAACCTGAATTTTACCTGTCATTACCTATCATTTTTAGCCATAGCCCAATGGTTTCTGTTGCTTGTCTTGCTTGTGATGCCAGTTCTTCGAGGAGAAGCAGTCAGTGAGGCTGCAGTAAGGTCTGCAAAGCCCTCAGTACCTGAGACATCCAAGAGCCAGATCCCAGCTTGCCATGATCCACAGTCAACGTAGCTCAAAACTGCTGTGGGTATTGTGGTCCTCTTCAGCTGCACTTGAAGCCCCACTCACAAACACAAGAATTTGTCTCCCTGTTGCTTCTGGCTATGAAGTGGCAGTTTTCTACAGCCCTCACGACTACCTGGGCTCTAATGCCTCCTTTGGTTGCGTTACTAATCCTAGTCAAATTGCGCCGTATGACAGTTGCTCAGTATACTAAAGATGCATACTGATTGTCCCTATAATCGAACATATCATAGGAGCCTTGGTCACGTATCAGAAAAGATGTTTTTTTTTCCTTAGTAATTTCTCATTCATATGACTTTCTAATAAGATTCTTTCCTTTGCCGAGTCAGGTAGAGACTTCTCCCACGAGAAGGAAAGCCACACTAGTGTCCTATTTCTATAAGCAAAGGCATTAGAGAATCACCAGCTAGTATGTAATTAACCCTCAATAAGTAAAGTACAATTATTTCTAGGCTAAACTAAGTTTTAGAATAGAGCCTTCCATCTTGTGGTTAAATCTGTAGTTCCCTTTTTCAATGCGGGCTTGTCTAACTTATCATCTGCCATCATTTCTGAAGTACCTACCACATTTGTACTTAAAAGACAGCAGTTGTAAAAGAAACCCACAGGGAGATGACCCAGAGGACATTTTAACAAACAGAGCAGACTCTTTGCGGGACTTTTGAGAAGCTGCAGGTAAGCTCCTGGGATATGTGTTGTGTTTGTTTTTATCTTGTTTTCAAACTGCAAAGGTCCCACTTTTCAAAGTCACCCTTGCGTTACACTGGGAAACGTGTCTGGCGTCTGCTTCTGACCAGTTGACTCTGAGACAGGGGAACACATCGGTTTTAAGTAAAATCGTTACTGTTTAGAGGCTATTTTCTACGGTTCAGATTTCTGTTTTCCTTTAAGAAGGAGTATATCCTTTACTTTCTGCTCTCACTTAACTTTTTGCCATATATAATCAAAACATAATTGAGGCTTTTACTTCATCCTGAGAACTTACTATATTAATTGTTGCAGAGGAGCTTAATGCTGTTGCAGATTTCTAGTTAGCATCTTTACTTAAATACACTTGTTTTGATTCTGGTTTTAGTACTTTATCACACAAAGTCAACAAGGTCTCACAGACTGCTAGGTGTTCTTTTAGTTTGTAGCTGTGGAAATACCTCACCGCTAACACAGCTATGGAAATGTCTCTTCCAAAAGCTAAATTTTCAGTCTTAGGCTGATAGCAAGAAAAAGAAAAGTAATGTTTTTCAAAACAAGAAAGGAGAACATAAACTGATAGAAAGAACATGGATAATAATTGAAAACTAATCTGCATTACAGTTTATACCCAATTACAAACGAGTAAACTGCTCCTCAGGATATGTTTGCTCTGCGTGGTCGCGTGTTTTCAGCCAGCAAAAGTACCTTTGAAAAGCTGATCCTTAGGATCTTTTCAGAAGTTTGGAGAAAAGAATGTGGCCGAGAAGAATGAGAATCTTTATTTTTTGAGGGCAAAGTTCAAAAGTGCATAGGTACCTGAACCCTCTGTAAGGAGGCCAGGGAGACAGACAGCTTTTTAGTTGTGCTGAACGTCAGAGTCATCCTGAAGCCAGTGCACTGAGAGTACCTGAGTTAGTGAAGGCCGTGACTCCTAAGCGGTTGTAAAACATGAGAGTTTTTTTTTTTAAAAGGTACTGAAATGGTTACTTAAAAAAAGAAATTCTTTTAGCAATAGAACTAATGAAGGCTATTTCCCAAAGTCTTGTAGTTGTACCTCATGTTTTATTTGATCAAAGCTTTGACTGCAGCTGGGGAATCACAAAACTCCCTCTCCGATGTGAGTGGAAAGCTTGTGTCAGCCTCTCTTTAGTGGGTTCTCATTTTTTTAATCCAGCTACTTAGTTCACATTAAAAGAACTTAATATACTTGAAACTGCTGATTCTTTTTGTAGGTGGCCTATGGGAGAACTGCAAGGAACATGATGGATAAAGTTAATAGGCAGCAATAAAGAGGTGTGTGCATGCATAAAAACACATGCGGACACATCTGCAAAGTTTACGGTTGTGTTCTTGCCAGAGGTGCACTGGGGTTATTGCTAGCTTTTAAAAAAAAAAAGCTAATTTTTATTTTCAGTGACATGAAGTTTCTATATTTTTACTTTTTAATGGAAAAATAAAAACATTATCAATATGTTTAATAGTCTCATGAGGTAAATGAACTATGTAATGTTTTTTAAAGGAGGAAAAAACCCTGATGCCAATAATTTGTAGAAAAAAAGTTTGGAAATATGGACCACATCCTAGCAGTTTTTATTCATTAAGTTTTTGATCAGATAAGGTCTAAGTAATAATAGAGAATTTGTATGAAGTAGCAGTACCACAGGCTAGGCAGCACAGGTGTGGCAGAGGTGGTCAGAGATCACTCCGGTTTGCAGGGACCGTTGTAAACTTGTGTTCAGTCTACATAACGTCCTCCAGAATAGTATCATCATTTTGTGAAGCAGAGGTCTGTACGGTAGTCAAGGGATGAAATCTAAAAGAACAAACTTTTCATGAATAGTAATGCAATGAGAAATAAATACTCTTGGCGGCATTGTGTAGGCATAAATGTATGCTGTGAACAATAGTTACCTGACTGTGATGCAAATAGATTTTGGGAAAGCCAAAGATGTCTAGCCAAAATGTCTTCCAGGATCCCAGCATACGTAGAAACAAACCCTGACTCCCCAGGAACAGTCAGTTAGAAAACTCCAGAGGTTCAGTCAGCCTCACGCACGTTTTGGCTAGCGGAATCCTGGATACACACAGAATAAGAATATAGCTAATGAGTGGATTTGGACATTGAGAAACACAGAGCGTACCGTAGATTATGCCTCACTTGAATGAACTCGGCATTTATACAACATTTTTAAAAATAGTTACTCTGCAGCAGAAGTACCCCAACTGTGATCAACTGGATTGCTTCCAGTCCTTGGGTTATTTATTGGAGGTTCAGGGAGAACTGATGGGCCAAAGATGTTTTCTCTGCTCATTACCAACTGAAAATATGATTTTTCCATACAAGCAATTGCTGTAGATGCCCTAGGGAAGCAGCATGATTGGACTGGGAGGGTGTATTTCTCTTTTGTAAGAACATCTTGGAAAGCTGCTGTTTGGTATATCCATGTTGTTTATGTTAGGTTATACACGAATAATGATAACACACAGATTTCTTTTTCCCCAGTACTTCATGAAACAATCTGTAGGAAGCATAAGAACACGCTGTTTTTAAGCATTAAAAATAGTTGCTCATTTAAATTAGAAACAAACAAAATAGTTTATCTTACACCCTATAATTAACACTGGAGAATTAGCCTTGAGGTAAGCACTGAGATTTCTTCTTCAGCAAGCTTTATTGAAATTGCAACTGGAAAGTAAAATCTGACAAGCAGCTAAAAATATGAATACTTCTCTTCGTGGAGCAAATGAGGCTCTATTGAAAGCAAATATACCAGAACCCCCTTGGCTCCTCTCCCTGAGGAGATGCTGTAGGTCCACGACTGCTGCTCTGAACGCACGACAGTGTTGAAAACAGTAGCTTTTTCAAGTGGATTTGCCAAAAGCAAAGGGAGCAAAATGAAATGTAGTTAATGGTACTCATATTAAATTTAGCTATGACAACATGTATTCTTCTGCAAGGAAGGAGAAGACTCTGTGCTCTGCAGGGTGGCAGTTTCATTCCTTTGATAATGTGGATATACCTGTACCATGCTCCACGGCTTGTGTGCTTACGCTTGGGGTTGTTCTCATTTTTAGCTATCAGTCTGTGTCCTGTTACCTGGTTAATATGATGACATGGCATATATGTTGATATATGGCCTCTCTCCTTTACTATCTAAAGATCATGGTCAACATACTGAGACTTTTTCTGATCCTCCTTTGGACAACGAACATGGTTCACCCAAACATACTTCAAGTTGAAGGAGGTAAGGCATCTTCTTTCTGATCAATATGTTGCTTTAGTGGGTGACCAAGACCCTGCTATGTGTAGTCAAATGGGCTATTCTACACATAAACAAAAGAGAGCCATAGCATGAGCACAGCAGCACGAATGGCCATACTGTGTTAACACACTTCCTGGGATAGTTTTACCCTGTATCAGTTAGATTCCTCACAGCGGAGGAATCCAGAGGACCGCATTGTCAGGCTGTTCCCAAAAGGCAGTTTGGACATGGCACTTTGCCTCGAGGGGGAAAAAATACGAGGTGTATAGATGCAAGCTGTGCTGTGCTGCTTGGCCGCTGGGCCAGAGAATGGTCCCTCGCCCAATGTATTTAACAACATAGATGTAGCCAGAGCAAAGTTATTGTTCCAGCAAGCTTGCAATTTAAGCTCCAGGGACAAAACTACAGTTAGTTGCAGAAACACCAAGACACAAAGCATAGTTTGCAGTAATCCTGGTTTATCGAGGACGTTAATCCTGACATTTGCTTGTGAGCCTCTCAACAATGACCATTTCACAGAAAGGAGTTCAAGGTGGTTTACGTCAGGGTTTTCTGACTGTTCATGAGGCAGTATTCCTCGTGTGAGATACTTGCTTGAAAATTGAGCAAGTGGGCTTTTAAGGTTGAAATTATGGGAAAAGAAGTGGGGACTGACTTCCCGTAACTGCCTGAGAGATGGCAAATGAGGGAGGAAGGGCTCTGAAGAACTTTAGAAATGAAAGGAAGTAGAGTGATTATTTCATTGCCTTGCTATTTATATGCTAACATTTTTTCCCCAGCATGGTAACTTCTTCATTTCCATATGGGCTCCAGAAATCCCTCTTATTCTGTCATTTTAAGTTATCATTGCCATTCTTCTGCATTGTCTTCTATTCGTGCTTAATGCCTCTGTTCATCATACTTTTATTTTTCTCACATACAAGTTCTAGTGGCTGCCAGCCTCCTCTTAGAAAGCCCCCATATCGTGCTCTTTTGCAAGGGTCCATGGATGCCAATTGATCATATGGCTGATCAATTGATCAGCTCCGTATCAATACAGAAGCCCAGTGATACGGTGACTATGAGGACTGAGTTGAAAGACCTGAACTTAATTTTTTAAACAAGCTAAATGTATATGTGTAATATGTCATTGTGATTTTCAAATTGAACTTGTAGAAAAAAAATCTTTTAAGTAAACTCTTATTTGATGAAGTTCTGGTTGTTATTTTAAAATGGTCTTCAAGATTAGAAACATTTTTTTAAGAAGCTGTTAAGATAATATAATACTGAAATGAAATTGGTGATGCTTTTCTTGTGTTGCTCATTACTTTTAAGTAGCTATTGCTGTGAACAGTTCACTAATAAAAGTGAAATAGATTAGTATATCATCAGTGTTTCTATTTTCTCCCTTTCAGTTCAGGTTTTCCCACCTACTAATTTCACCCTTACGGTCTCTGCATTAGCAGAAGTCTTTTTACACTGGAAACCAAATCCTAATCAAGAACAAAAAAACTATACTATTAGATATGACGTGGAAATCATAGCTCCTGCATCTGAAAAGGTATGTCTCCAATAAACCCAGCATTCACATTTCTGTTGAGTTAAATATACTGCACCAAAACAGGGTGCAGTAGGTGTGATAGGTCTTCTACAACATTGGCATGTTCAAATTATTTATTCTTTTTTATCATAAGCAAATATGTTCAGCACTGGAGAGACTGTCTTTCACCTTTGTTTAAGGATACAGCTCTGCTAGCAGAGGGGTTAGCCCAGGGAATTGTCAGGCTCTGTAACATTCGTCTTGAAGAGGAAGTTGGATGCTGGTATTAAGTGACATTGCTCCCTGTTCAAGTCAGTGCATTTCATTCAGATTAATGCCAGAGCAACAGTAAAATGTTGCACCATATTTCATCACAGTTATACACTATAGACAAATTTTTCATAAGATAAGGATCCTGCTGTCTTAACTAACAAACCCCAAGCACTTCTGGTGCAAATTATTTGTGCTGTCTAACTTTAGACACTTAAATTTCCCAGCTAAGCTACCTGGCTGCTATGTCTCTGCTCCTTATGCAGACAGTGGAGACAGTGGAGCAGTTTGCTCTCAGGGGCTGTTTAAAGCACTTAATTCAAGATTTTGCTCTGAATCACTGTCTGTGGGACTCCCTCTCTGGAAGGACAGGATGGCTGTGTATCTCTTGGGCAAATCAGATTAACAGTAGGTGGTGTGCACAGCCTTCAAGGTTTCAAGTAACTGTACAATGGGACATTTAGCTTAAAGCCCATCCTTAGTAGATCAGTCTTTGCAGAGGTCTTAAGCATCATACGTGATGCTTATTTGATTTTTTTTTTTAATTTCAAGTATGATACAAAGAAGACTCACAGTTTCCGAACAGCTGTACTTCACAATGGTTTCTCTGCACGCATTCGGACGTTACTTCTCTTTAATGACCTTCAGATGAAAAGTGACTGGGTGATGGGTGAGCTGAAGCCTCCGCTGGGTAAGATGGAAGGCAAGGCAGGGCTGAATTTTGTGTTCAGTCCTAGTCTGTGGACTAGCTATGAATAGGTGAGCAGCTTAATACGTTAAAAAATAGGGCATTTCCCCCTCTCTCTGCAACACTGATCTTGCAAAATGAATTAGTCCAGGGCCTTTTTTTGGCCTTTGGAGCCTGGAATACAATCTGGAGATGCACGACATGCAAAACCCTTGTAAAGTTTTCTGAAAGGTCCTTGCTAAGGCCAGGGTAACCTACTTTCATACACTCTAGGATATTAAAAGATGAAGTTGCCTGTAATCATGAGGTGTGTCTTTCATATGTAATGGTGCTGTGTGGAACAGCATTACTTGCACTATTTTGGAATCTTTATCAGTCCTGCAATTCATAGCGTTATCTGATGCGGAGGAGGATTAGATAAAAGAGACATAGATATAACGGGCCAAAGACTATAATCAAAGCGTTTTAGAAACATGAATTTCTTACGACATTTGTAATGAGATTTTTTTTCCCCCCCATTTTTATAATTCCTTGGCTCTGTAGGTGCTGCAGAGACATCAGTCACTAATTTGTCCTGCGTTACTTACTTCACCATTTATAGTACTGTTTCTCTCCGTTGCACTTGGTTTCCTGGCAAAGGGGCACCAGAAAATACAGAGTACTTTCTATTTTACAGGTTAGTTTCTCCTCCCATTTTTGTCGATGATGAATTTCTTGAAAAGCATCATGTCTCACAGATATTTTAATTTAGGTATAAGACCTACACTGAAGAATGTCAAGATTATATCAAAGACAAGTGGAACAGGAATATTGAGTGCGGATTTTCAAGGACACATATTGATCCTGAAGAGGTTGATAATCTCATTGTAATACACATTAACGGGTCTAGCAAGTACGCTGCAATCAAACCTTTCCAGCAGTTATTTAACCAAAATGCCATCGGTGAGTAAAAGTACATTTTTTTTTACATTATAAAAAGTGTCAATATAACTTTCTTCCCCTGAGTGAAATGGTTGGAGGGAAATTGAAAAGAACTTCTTTCTGCACTAAATTTCAACCGTCAAGCAGGAGTGCCAAAAGATTTGTGAGAGACTATTAGTGGATTAAATGGTTCTCGGTGCAGGCAAAAGCATGTGCTGGTTTCACATGGGCGTCTTAATGAAATTGGAAGAGCCAGTAAGACAAAAGTTGATAGTTTTAACAAACTGAAAAAATGACAATGAGAATGAGAGAATGAGAGCGACAAAACTAAGAGCTAGAAAACACCAATTATTTAATCCATTTGTTAGCCAAAGCATTATTTCCAATATGCCTTTTCTATTTATTTATTCAATATACCTTCAAGTACAGTGTTTACTACTTTTTATTATATAGTATAAGGATTTTCTTTAAAAGAAAAAAAAATATGATGTTCAGGCTAACAATATCCTTTTAAAGAAAGGCATTAAACTGTAGAATAAAAGGTAGTATGCAGCCATGACTGTCTATCACATTTCATCCACCCAAATCATTTCCTTTCCTTCATTAGTTCTATAAATTTTGCTTTTTGAAAACAGATAACATGTCCCTTTTTTTCTTGCTTAACAAAATAAAACATTTGACAAACTTTCTTCTTTGAAATCATCTCCCTAACTGTTGATCCGTTTCTTTGAATTTGCTCCACTTTTCAGTAACTTTCCTGGTTACATCTGTCTTTCCTGAAAAGAAGTTTTTTCTTCCTGGGTCAATCATTAATTTCATGCTTTTGTAAAAAAAGAATTTAAAAAATACATTTCCCCCCCTCTGTAATCTAGTTTTCCAAAACTTTTAAGTGGATTTTTAAAAACTGTTTTCCCTTATTTTCCCTAACATAGTTCTTTCTCTTAAACCTTTATCTTTTCTGCCCCAAATGTGAAGTAAATTGAAGCATTATAGGCCCTACTAGGAAACACTATCAAGTTATAAATTGCTCCAATTGTTAGTATTTAAGCTTTGCTCTATAAATAACTTACTGGTACTGCTTTCGTTTTGTAGAGAAAGTGAATGTTCCCAGAAATGTCACTGTATTCCTAGAGCAAAATGATCTCT